TTGGCGTTTAGAGCAACAGGACCCCAAGAAATCTCTTTGATGAGCTTCTCTTGCTCCTCAGTGGTCAGGCCTGGGTCAGACGGTCATCACTAATAGCCAGAATCCCCAGGAAACAAACCCCCAGATGTTCTGTGGCCAAGACAAGGCACAGCCAGGAGCAAGGGGAAGAGGGCAGCTTTGTACTCGATGGCCAGGCATCTGGTGGCCTGGGAGCCTTACGGTGCTGCGACAACGTCTCCTGAGAGGGCTGTGTCCAGATGTGACCAGACCTGCTATGTCCGAGTAGGAGAATATGAGAAAAGGACCTGCTGGGAGCTGTGTCCACCTCAGGTAGTCCTCACAGGGATGCTTCACACCTGCCTGGGCTTATTCTTTCCTTCTCATGAGACAGAAGCCATTCATGTCTCTGAGGGCAGTGTCCTCCAACCCAAAAACATGCTGGTCACTCCCTGGCCAGTGGAACAGGTGAGTTTGCTGCATTCCTTGAGGGAGGAGTGGGAGCCCTCAGGAAGGGGTGCTAGATAGAAGCCCTGTGGATGGGTCTCAGTTTGGGTCTGTTAATGTGGCTGTGGGACATGAGGAACGATTCTATCTATGGCCATCTCAACAAACCCCTCTGTATAGCGAAGGGACCGGAAGCAGGATGATGCTGGTCATGATAACAAAAATCAGTCATTTGTTTTAGTCATGACAGAGTATGTCTGTTGCTATAACAAAATGCCTGAGACCAGGTAATTTATAAATTGGGGGATTATTTAGCTCTTGGTTCTGGAAGTCGGAAATTCCAAGGGCATGGAGCTGTGATCTCTTAGGCACTTAGGTCCTTTCCGTGGCACACTAAGATGATGGGGAGTGTCACAGAACAAGGGAGGGTAATGCTAGCAAAGTTCACACAGGAGAATCTCTGAGCTTTTTTCACACAAATGGTGAGAAACAATCTGAGATGCAACAGCCGGTCGGGGCAGCAGAGGGCACTGTGCAGCCGCTGCAGTGTAGAAGCCTGGCCAGGCAGGCCTCAGGCACCCTGGAGCACAGGTAGGATTACTAAGATAGGGAGATGGGCACAGGGTACCAGGTACGGATTTGGAATGAGACGTGTCACTGACAGTAAACATGCATGCGCTGGTGTATAGTATGTGTACTGAAGGGAGTAGAGTGTGCTCATCGAAGCATGGGATATGGACCAGAGGGTGCTGAGTCCAAGCCCTGGTCCCTGCACCTCTGTGAAATCTGGGCTCCTCACCTGGCCTACCTGACAGTTCTCACAGCTACAAAAGGAGCCATGACTGTTTCCCCACGGAGTGTGTGGAGACTGATTGAGCCCCAGGGAAGGGGCTGCCCCTTGCAGACCCTCAGTAGACACCGCCCAGCATCAATAGTGAGTGCAGTGCTTCCAGCCAGCTCCTCACAGAGCGTGATTCCATCTGCTCTCTGTGTGTAGGCTCCCTGGTTTCTACAGGGCTGGTGCTCACCCCATTGCACTCCTGTTCCCTTACAGGACCCTGGTCCTCTGCCTGGCAGGGGTGAGGCAGAGGGAGCTGGGCAGGACCACTGCCTTCCTTTAAATAGAACATGGTGGATAGATAGCAGCAGCTATGGAGGCTCTCTGAGATACCCAGCTTAGAATCCAGGAATGCTGCGGTATGAGGAGTCCTAAGCAAGGCTGACCCAGGAATGAACTAAGCTAAGAGAAACCAACTGGAAATCCAATCCTGGTGCTATAACAGGAACAGATAAAATCTCATCAAGGAAGCTAGAAACTGCACCACTGGAAGCTGCAATTTGAATTTCCTGCTGCTGCTGCTGCTGCTGCGTCCAAATCTGCAGGGCAGGGAGAGAGACACATGAAAGCTCTGAGAGCGGAAATCTGTGAACAGAGTTGAGAGCAGGACTAGCAGGGAGCCTTACATCGACTTGTGGTGAGTGAGGGGAATGGGGACCCTTTCATAGGGTAGGAGGCTCCAGCAAAGTACATACTGGGACCGGGCAGACTTGCCGGAATGGGGTGCTGCAGTGACTTCAGTCACATATTCCCCTCTCAAGCAGGATTGGTGGGGAGTGCCTGGCCAGTGTGACACCACTGACTTAGACCCAGTAGGCGAGCCCAACACAGGTCCCAGCGCCTAGAAGTGCACCCTAGCACTTTGGTAGGTTGACCTGGAGGGGCGGACCCAGCAGAGGCTGCCCAGATCTCTGTCTCCCTAGTATACTGCAGTGGGTGGGAACACCTAGCTGGCACAATTCAAACAAACTGTAACCAAAAAAGAGAAAAAAATTGGGCCTCCTACATTCGCTTGTATGGAAGGAACAAAAAGTATGGGAAGAGGAAGGAACAAGACAGGGTCCTCAGTCTCCAATCCTGAGAACACTGACCAGGAAAGGGAAATGCAAAGGAAGACAGAAAACATGCAATATCAGAAACGGCACCAATAGACATAAAGCGATATCTCCAGAGCCTCACAGACGAGTTTAAAAATGACGTATTTAACGAAATAAAGCAAGATATAAGTAGAATAGTTAGAGAAATGTTAAGAACCACCCAAGAAAAAACAGATGGTGGAATGGAAGAACAGAAAAAAGGGGAGAATTGTTTGATGGAGAAAATAGAGAAAACATAGAATACATGAAGCAGGTTCAAAGAGATTACCAGGAAACTAAAAACTCTATTGAAAGCTGGCATAATAGCTTGAAAGAAACTAAAGATAGATTATCTGAATTGGAGGGCAGACTTGTAATATGGGAGCATGACATGAAAAACTTCTTAAAAATAACAAAAAAAAAACAGCAATAATACAAAGACTAGAAGATGATAAGAGGATCTACAACCTAAGAATTAAGAACATAAAAGAATAAGTAGGGACACAAACCAATGGACTACAAAAAGCTATTCACAGAAATAATCCAAGAGAATTTCCCTAATTTAGCAAAAGGTAAAGATATTCAGATGTATGAGGCATTCAGGACACCAGCCACCTACAACCCAAACAGAGCTACACCCAGGCATATAATAATCAAAATTCCAGAAATCCAATATATGAACAGAATACTAAAAGCTGTCAGAGACAAGAAACAGATCATTTACAAGGGAACGCCCATCAGAATTACAGCAGACTTCTCAGCACAAACCATCAAATCATGAAGAGCGTGGAGACAAATAATTCAAGCTTTGAAAGATAACAACCTTCAGCCAAGATTGATATATCCTGCACAACTGTCCCTAGAAATTGATGGAAAAACAAGGTGCTTCCAGGATAAAAAGGAACTAGTGGAATTTGCAATCACCAATTCAACTTTACAGAGAATACTACAGGATATTCTAAAAAAGGAAAATACCAAGACTTCAGAAACAGTGGCAGAGAGACCACAAATAATGAAGCAGAAAGCAAAATGAAGAAGACAAACTGATAACAAATGACAGGAAAAGAGCTCAACAGAAATGAGGCAGAGAAGACTGGATGGTAGGAACAGCTATTTTGGAGAAAACAAGACATCATAATAGCTAGTGCTGATTTGGTATCACCTTGCTTTGAAGTCCCATTAAGCTTTCATTTTTCTGTCTCCATCGGTTTTAACAGGTTGTATCTTATTGGATTTTATTATTATATATATATGTATATATATGTATATGTATATATATATATAATATAAGCAAAAATTTTTGTAGACAAGGAGATTAAACAGAAACAATTGTTCATTTTCTGATAGTTGGTTTAAATACCCTGTAATACTGTCATTCTCTTGAATGGTTTTACATTGTCTTGATATGTTTTGTGCTATAGTATACAAAGTTATACTCAAAGATATAAAGGAAAGAAACATTATGGTAACTACTTTTATGTTGGGATGTTTTGTGGTGAAACACTATTTTGCTTAAATGGTTATGCTTTGACCTGTGCTGTTTTGTTGTTATGCCCTCTTTTATCTCAGTCTCCTTTTTTAAATTATTTACTTTTTCATTTTTTCTTTTTAATTAAGGGAAAAATAAAAAAAGCAGGATATATTATTATAGTAACCCACTTTGATTTCCTATTAACTTGATTTGAAACCCTATATAGCCCTCACCATCTTGCTTTGACTGATTTTCCTCTATTCTGCTTTGCTTGATAGTATCAAGTTCGAAAGTATAGGCAACAACTGTGAAGACAGTAAGATTCATTATCTTATTCTGGTTGACTATTATCTTCTTTTAAAGCCCTGTAATGTCTCCAATGTTTTGGTTTTATTCTTTACTGTTTTGTTCAATTTTATTATAACTGATGATATAGGCAATTCTTTTCAAGATAGCAAGAGGCAGTATGGTAGCCATTGTTGATCACCTAGTATTTTGTTTTTACATTATCTATTATGTTCATCCTTTTGATTTGACTGACTGTGTTCTGTTATGTCACATTTGGTTTTACTCTCTTCAAAAAAAAGTAGTAAGAACTGTGGGCGTAATAAAACCCAAAATGTGTAATTGTCAATGTACAAAAGAAAGGAAAAGAAAGTGCTCTAAAAATATAACCGCATATATATTTAAGTGTATAAGATAGATAACCATATTACTGAGTTTTGTTGGATCATTGAACAGAACTGTTTGCAGTCTCACTGTTTGAAAATCCACTTTATATGCTTTAATTTTGTAACTTGAACAACTATTTCTAAGATAACAATATGTAATCTATTAGCTAGTGATTTCCTACTGCTTATTTTTTCTGAAATTCTGTATAACTTGTACCCTATTTCTGTTTTTTTTTCTTTTCCTCCTTAATAAAAATCAGAAAGGAAGAAAGAAAGAAAGAAAGAAAGAAAGAAAGAAAGAAAGAAAGAAAGAAAGAAAGAAAGAGCAGCCCTGAGCCTGGGGGCGGAGCACACCCTGGGCCGAGTCTGTTTGACCTTTACTGCCTCCAGGGAGGGCAGCCTGGAGAGCTGGCCTGCAGCACCTGCCTCTTGCCACCTCTGCCCCATAGGGCTCCCTTTCGGTTTCATGATTTCATAATCAGTTTCCTCTTCCTCTCCAGCCTGGGAGCCCTGGTGAGCTGTACAGAAAACCTCTCAGACACACCACTGCTGACATAACAGAGGCTGCTGCTAACATGGCCAGCACCCCCTGCCCAGGTACTGTGCTTCCTCTTCTCTGGCGGGTCCCTCTCACCTCCTCGGAGGTGCAGCTCCTGGGCAGAGCCATTGTGGAGAGCAGTTGAGGAAGGAAAAGGGGAGTCCCTGGGGGACCCGTGGATCTTCTGAGCAGAGCCTGTGGTTCCCTTCCCAGTCCTCTCCTCAGGGACGGGGCCCAGCTGCTCACTTCTTCCCAGCCCAGCTTCTAGTCAGGGTTTCAGGTGAACACTGGTCTGCCTTTGGGAGGCCCCTCCTGCCTGTCCCAGGCACTGACCCTGGGGCTCTGTCCATGAGGAGGTGGCTCCCTCCAGCCCTGGCCCAGTGGGGCCCAACTGATTCCACTCATCTGTCATGGAAGGAAAACCTGGGGTGAAAGGAAGCAACCTCCTCCCTAGAGTAACCCCTCCTTCCTTCAGTCCTGTTTTCTTCCCCCTCCACTGGGCACGTTAGAACCAGGTCCGTTCCTCACTTCTTCCCCAGCCTGGAGAGCAAACAGTGCTGTGAGGAGCCTTGGGGAAGAACAAGGGAGGGAGAAGCCTGGAGCTGAGGTGGGGCTGGGGCTGCAATGAACCCCTCCTTGTTTAACAATTGGGGCCAGCGTGGGGCCAGAGGTGCCACCGGAAATTGTGTTTCCTGAGACCAAAAGAAATTGGTTCCAGAGACAAAAGCTTGTGGTTGGATTCGGGGCAGATCAGGTCTGGCTACTTCTGTAAACTCCCACTGATAAAAATAATGGTGAAAATTAGGGAGGAGATACAGAAGGGTAGAGCTCCAGGGAGAGACAGGGGGACCTGAGTCCTCAGCCCCATGCTCAGAGGTGCTGCCCTGAGCTCCTGGATGGTATAGACAGGGGACAGCAGTGTGCACAGTCACACAGTCTATGCAGATGGAGCCTGGTGGGTCATGGTCTCAGCACTGGTCAGGCGGGGCTTCCCCACAGCAGTGGTGGAGTGCCTCTGCCCTGGGGAGGTCTCTCTGCTCCTCAGAAGCTGCTGAGCCAGGCTGAGGCAGGAGAGATGACTCAGAGCAAAGGAGGCAGATAGGAATCGCAGGCAGAGATGCCAAGTGTCCACCCTGCTGTAGTTCCCCGCTGGCCATCTGCAGGCCAGGGCAGAGTCAGTGCTTTCACAGCGGCAGCCTCTCAGGGCTCCTCACAGATCACAAGGGTCAGAGTGGAGAGTCCAGCCCCAGCCCATCCATATGAACCTGAAGAATCCCCTCCTCAGCCTGGCTTAGAGCAAAGGGATTCTGTTTTCATCACAGTTTTACCCTGCAGCGTGTGGTGTAAAACATTCATGTGTTTTTGCAAATCTCACTGGCAAATTGTAAAGAAGACTGCACAAGTTATGGACAAATTTTAAAACACTAATTTTCTAAATTATACAATAAAATGAACACTTTCAGTTGAATTTAAATGATGAGCTTTCTTCTTTGTAGCTTTGGGCTACCATATTTCCTGATTGGATCTCCATTTGTCTATGAAACAAAAATAATGTCTCTTTTGAGGATGCAGGACAAACTCATTTTCTGTTGTGTCGCAGTGGCACAGAGAAATATGTCCCTTCCTGTGCTTCCATTACCTCCAGTCCTGCAGGCGGGCTCTTTCTGGTGACTTAGGCAGTAACTCTGCCCTCTGCTGCCCTGAGACCACTTACAGTCCTCGCAGTGCTTACCTCCTGTAAGGTGAGCATTGCTTTGCTTCCGTGTCAACACATTAATGTGTCTGAGTACCGTAATTTCAAAGCAGTATGCCACATGTGCCCTGAGCTTTTTAAAAAATCAAAAACTTTTTATTTGTATCAAATTTATGGTGAAAAAAATGGAATGTTCTCAGCCCAATGAAATGACAAATATTTAAGTGCTCTAAAGGATACAACAGCAAGTGTGTTTAGGGGTGTTAAATAGCTGGCCATATTAATGTTTTTAGTTGGATCATTGAACAGAACTGTTTGCAGTCTCACTGTTTGAATGTCCACTTTGTATGCTTTGATACTGTGACTTGAGCAACTATCTCTAAGATGATAATGTGTAATCTATTAACTGGTGATTTCTTACTGTTTTTTTTTTCTAGTTCTGTATTACTTGTACCCTTACACCGCTTTGTTTTGTTTTTGTTTTTTCTCTTTTTCCTTTTAAATAAAATTAAAAAAAAAGAAATGACAAATATTTGAGGTGATAACATAGAAATTTGTTTGAATTGTCACACTGTCCTTGGTAAATACATACAATGTGTTCATCACAGCAAACATTTGCAAAATATTTTTAAATGATTCCAAGTTCTGGATTCCTATCCATGTCTAGGTCTCACTCACTAAGAGGCTTTTCTCTGTCCCTTGCTTTCTCTCTAAATATAAGTTCATTTACTGTCAGTGCTACTTATAAAATCTATTATATACAGTGGTATTTATGTTAATAAACTCAATTCTTTCTTTACTTCCAAACTGAACTTCATGAGAACAATATCCAATTTCTTTATAAGGTCAGCACTGAACCTATTCGTTGAATTCAATTTGGTTCTCATCAACTGAGTTTGTCCCTAGAATCATGGAAAGAATCAATTTTGTGAACCAAAGTATTATTGTATGTGTAATTTCATACAAGTAATTTGCAAAAGCAATCCACACTATGTTCAGCATGTTCTCATATGGATAATCCAGTTTCCTTTTAGAAGTGCAACTTAACACAACCACCAAATTTCAGAACCCACTGAGGTGCTGAAGCTCACATTGTGAGGATGCCAGGACACACCATGTGGCACACAGAGGGGAAGGGGTGGGTGAACCCATGCTTGGAAGGTTCCCACTCCCCAGGCTGAGGTCCACATTCTGAGTTCTGTGCTGAAAGCACTTTCCTGGTGTGTGTGTCCCCTCATGGGACCATCGCAGGACTCTACAGGCTGGGACCCTAAACAAAAGATGCCTCTTTTTTGCTGGTCCAGGAAGCAAAATCCATGATGAAGGTGGGGCAGGGCTGGTCTCCAGCCAGAGATCTCTTCCTGGTTTGCAGAGGGAGTCGCCTCACTGGCCTTTCTCTGTGCATGAGGAGAGGTCAAGATGAAGAGTGACAGAGACAGAGTATGATTTGCTGTTATAAGGATACCAGTCCTAAAGATTCAGGTCCTACCTTTATGACCTCATTGGTTCTCTCTAACCAGACATTTAAAGGAACTGTTTCCAAACTGAGCCCCTGAACTTAGGGTTTAACGCGTGCATTTGGAGGACTCATTTTGCTCCATAACACTAGTTGCTCCGTCTAAAGTGTCCCATGAGGCAGCAGCTCCTAGGATGAGTGTTAACCACCTGTACTCAAAGCTCTTTACTCTGCACTGCACTGCACTGTCATCTGATATTATTCCTTTTTTTCCTCAACCAGAGAGCGACAGCTACACAGAAGTTGTCATTGATTATATCCTAGACACACTGAGCAGTGAGGATCTGCAGCACTTGCTGACTGATGATGTCGCCTGGGAGATAATAGTGGAGACGACTGATCTGACCAGGTCACCTGTACGGGGCACAACAGCAATGCCACACAGACCCCCATTGGGCTGCGGTTCTCAGGGGCAGACCCGGCTTCTTCAGACTGTTTCTGTGGATGGGGTTCAGGGTGTCCCTGAGGGAAATGATCTCCATGTCATCCCTGGCAGTGAATGGCCTCAGGGTGCAAGTGTGCAAGTGTGTGGCCTCTGCTCCATGTCCTGCCTTAGTTTCTTCATGAATGGAGTGTCATTGTGAGAAAAACAAGACTGTGTGAACATGCTTAGCATGTGTCTGACACACATCAGGAGGAGGAAAGAGAACAGGGCCAAGGGTCCTCCCACCAGGTGGGAGCCAAGAGGGAATTACTTGAGAAAACTCATACGAATGGAAACCTCATGAGTAGTGTTTCTAGGGGTTCTGGCTCAGGCTATTTATCTTTGTATCTGAGGAGTTGTGCAAATACAACAGGGCACTCATTTCTGCGGTACTTTAATGAAAGTCACTTGCTGCCTTTTGTGTAATCCAGGCTGACCTTGGACCCCTATGTTTCTCAGGCTGGCATCAAACTGGCCATCCTCTTGCTTCAGCCTCCTGAGTGTTTGGAGTGCTGGCGTGCACCACCATGCTGGGCCAGGATGTAGAGGCCACAGCGGAGTAGGAGAGAACCGGGTGGGACCCTGGCTGTCAAACCCAGGGCTTCAGGCTCATTTCTCAGAGACGTGAATAGCCATGTGTTCAGTGGAATAGCTGACCAATCTGATTATACCTTAGGGAGCTGTGTGTCAGAGGGGGAAGATGCCCTTCCGGGAGGCCCACACCAACCTGCAGTAGGGTCAGAGCCAGGGCTGGGGGTGGAGCAGACGGGGTCTGGGGCAGAGCAGTAAGAAGGAGGCTGGGGATGCAGGGCTGGACAGAGGGAGAGAAGGCAGGTGCTGAAGGCTCAGGGCATGGGGAGGTCATGGGCCCAGCAGAGGACTCAGAGTTAGTGAGGGCTCCTTTCCTGTCCTTGTTGTGCTCCATCCCAGGTAGCTCAGAGGGCTGTGGTGGGGAGTGGTTGTCTCCTTCATACTCTGTTGGTCACCCCGGAGTTCTCTGCTATCATGTGGGTCCTGCTTCTCTTCACACAGAGTAGCCCTCACCATCAGAAAGGCAGTGACTTAGTGTCAGATTCCTCAGTTAGGGTTGGGGACAGCCTGTTTTGCATAGATTGAGAGTCTGAAGACACAGAGTCCCCAGCACAGAGAGGACTTTCTCTATTATGCTATGCAATTTCTTTATTTTGCTCTGCATGCTCTAGATTCACAGAAGGATCTCCTGGTCTCCCAATTATCTTCACACGGCCTTTGCACAAACTCAGTGTCACTGGCTAAGGTGCCATTTTAGCTCATGACATGTAATGGGAAAGTCCCAGTCACAGGTTCAGGGGTTCACTTGAGCTGTAAGGTAGGTAGAGAAGGTGGAGGTAAGTTCAATAGCTGGGGCTCGTTTTTCCCAATCTGAAGTTTTTCTGGAAGTCAGAAATGATCCCAAAACCCCTGTCATGCATCACATTGTAAGGATGTACCTCCATTATAGGAAATTCCTGGGATAAGGAACATTTTACATGATAAATATTTTCTGATTTTGAAATAGTTGCTGGTGCATTGAGAGATACACAATGAATGTGACTCAAAACAAAACGTGAAATTCAGTTAGTTTTCTGTACAACTTGTATGCACAGCATGATTGTAATTTCATCTAATTCTTTAAGCACTATTGGGCTTTGAGTGCGACCCATCGTGTGGGTCAAGTATGGAACTCTCTACTTGTGGCATCATGTCAGTGCTCAAAGGTTTCAGATTCTGGTGTTTTTCAGATTTGTTTTTGGATTACTGATAAACAGCCAGTAGGGTCTTGTTGCTAATGTCCCAAGGCAAGCAGGGACACTCCTGGGAGTCAGGAACTTCAGGAGGCTCCAAGTTACAACCCAGTAGCTGAGGGCAAAGTGCAGGCTTCCCTTTGGTGAAGGCTAACTCCTCACTGTGCTTTAAGGTTCTCTGAGCTAAGGCTCCTCACTACTGTACCACCACTTCCCTGTGTTCAGCAGCAGAGCTCCTGCTTCACAAATATTTTGCTCATCACAGCATTGATTTTATCTGAGATGGCACTAAATGAAATATGCAGCATTGAAGAGCACCTGAAAATGCTTTCATCATGGACCCTTTTATGAACTAATGATATCGAAGGCATGTTTTTATCTGAAAGAAAAACTTGTGTGCATCTGTGTAATTCTTTTTATTTGATTATAATGAATCTTGGTCATGTATTGAGGATCGGCCTTACTGAGGCCATTTTCCAAACAGCCAAACTGCCTTTCTTAATCCTTTAACCTTTACTGTTACAGGAAGGAGGCAGATGCTGTGCGTGAGGCTCTGACTGATCTTCAAGCAGACTGTGATGAAGACTTTCAGGCGAGGAAGAGGTTCTTGAATGAATTTCCTAATGTGAAAAAGGAGATGCAGGAGCACATAGCCAAGCTCTATGCCCTTGCGGAGAGGATTGACAAGGTGCACAAGGGCTGTACCATCACCAATGTGGTGGCCAGCACTGGGGGTGCTGTATCTGGCATCCTGACCATGCTTGGTTTTGCTCTGGCGCCTGTGACAGCAGGTGGCAGTCTGGTGCTGTCTGCTACTGGGATGGGACTGGGAACAGCAGCTGCTGTGACTGGTGTTTCCGCCAGCATTGTGGACCACTCAAACAAGGTGTCAGCGCAAGCTGAAGCCAGGCAGCTGCTGACAAGCAGACTGGACACAGGGAAGGAGGTTCTACAGGTTGTGGGTCAGGCCACACCCAAAGTTGTTGCTGCATCCAAGAAGTGTGTGCAAACTTTCCAAAGCATTGAGAAGAACCTCTATGCACTTAAGGTGGCCCAATCCAACCCTCGATTACTAGCCAGGGCCAACCGCTTCATTAAAACTGGGAAAATCTCAGCTCGAAGCGGTAAGCAGGTGCAAAAAGCCTTTGGAGGCACCACTCTGGCAATGACCAAAGGCACCCGGCTCATGGGTGCAGCAACTGCAGGCCTCTTCGCCTTGGTGGATGTGTACAGCCTTGTGCAGGACTCAGTGCATTTGCACAATGGGGCAAAGACAGAGTCAGCTGCAGAGCTGCGACAGGAGGCTCAGGTTCTGGAGGAGAAGTTAGAGGAGCTCACCGAGATCTATGAGAGTCTGCAGTCAGGACCTGACTAAGTGACAACTTCCTGAAGCACTGCAGAACTCCAGCACATGTGCTTTCAAAGAGAGGAACTGGAAGTGCTGTAGAGGGGAAAGAGGGTGAGATGGAGTCGTGAAGAGCACACCAGGGAGGGGTTAAACGCAGGGACCTGGGGCTTGACATAAAGGACAAGAAGACCCCAACCATGCGAGAAATAGGAGGGAAGAGTTTCTTTTGTCCTAAGAATTCACTGAGGACCTGGGTAGAAGCAGCTGCTGGAAGAAGCAGTGGGAAATCGGGCACACAGAAGAGCAGGAGTTGGGAGCCACCACAGAACTGTCTGGGCTGGGAGAGGAAATGGGGCTCTGCTTCCCACTCGTTTCCACAATCTGGCATCCAGAAACAGCACAGGCTACCCTTAGTGACCTCTGTCTCATTCTTTCCAGTGTCAATAAACTATTATCTTTGTCAGACAATGAGTTCATGTCAATGATAATGATGATGACGATGGTGATGATGGTGTTGGCTGTGGTGGGATCGGTGATGTTGTTGTTGGGGACTGTGGTGATGGTGGTAGTAATAACACTGTAAGTGGTAGGGAGAGTTGTCAGAGAAGTTGGTGGAACTCTTCACACATGGCAAACACAGCAGAATTGAGAAATCCATCGAGGAAGATGGTGCTGTGTGGAGGAGCACCCGCAAGGCCTGAAGAGAATTCACCTCTTTGAACCACTTTCCTCATCTTTGAGGAAGAGAAGGCTGGACAAGAAGTAACTCGGGTCTGTCTCTCCTTCCTGTATTATATTCTGAGACTTTGGTTTCATAAATATTTCTTATTGTTTTGAAAAATTGGATGTAAATTAACCAATTTCCATAGGCGTATATTGTAGTGAGACCAAAGACAAATGACCTGGGATTATAGACTCTCATCTTACAGGGAACCTAGGGCCAGAAGACTGGTTAAGAGCAGCAGCAAGCCCAGTGCATTCCACCGCCTGGGTCAGGGGGAGGAGCTCACAGCAGTCAGGACAGCAGTAACTCCATGCAAGGCCGACTGCACTTTGTTTTACCCCAACAAAACAACAAACACTAGAGAAGGTACTTTCTGGCACTGATATAGGTACAATTTGAGAGTAAAGTCCCACAAACCACACTAATGTTTGTGTGTATCTAAAGTGTGCTGCAAAAGTGTGTTGGGAAAAGAGATTAGGGCTCCTCAGGAGGTATCCTATTGGTTACATATCAAGCTACCTGTGGTTGGGTCAAGCTGGTATGCACAGTGACATACCAAGCCTTTGGTGTCCTGACTGTCTACCTCACCTGTGAGCCACTTGCCTGATTCCCTTTCCTTGTAAACCCTCTCTCAGGGTCTCAGCATTCTTGCTCATCTGCTTGTATCTCCAGCAACTGCAGCAAGTGTACTGTGGCAGGACCTGAAGTATCACATCTCAAGTGGCTCAGCCCTGTGGTATTGAGCCTGAAGGTGAGTGGGGAGCTGCATGCTGTGCTACTGAAAATGAGCGGGTTTTCTGCTGTGCGCTCCGTCGGCTCTCCTCTGGTGGCTGCTAACAGAACCAAGCGTTTCCAAGCTCCATTCATTCTTTCTTTATCATCCTCTGTCTACCTGTTTTTTCCTGCCTCTTTCAAGGAAAAGGGATAAGAAAATACTTAAGAGATGATTGGGGCCTTTCTGGGGGAAAACAGAGAAAGAATATTAAATTAGTCCTTAAACTGATGCTTCTCAGCTTGAGTCCATTGGTTCAGAGAAAAAGGTCCAGAAAGAGAAACAGACAGAGACCAAGACAGAGACAGACCAGAGAGACAGACACAGACAGAGACACAGACATACTTGTGTCCAAAGGCCTTACTTCCTGACTCTCCTTTTAGGCTTTGCCTCATATGTAATGGAATGTCAGAGTGACCAAAAATACTTTCCAGGTTCTCATTTTTCTGTTCAATGAATTGGACGGAAAAATTGGTGACTGTGATAGACTGTCATCTATATAGAATGACAATAAGATAAAGGAAGAGAAATGCCTCAAAGAATATTCAAGAAAAAAAGGTGCTTTGAATGAAAAAGAAAAGATATGACCTGCAAGTAGAAGAAGAAGAAGGGGGCAATGTCTACCCAGTCATTGCTGACATCTCTTTACAGTTTTTGATAGCTGATCCAGGTGGTTCCACTTGGTCTCTTGCAAGAGCATTGATATGAAGGCAAATTTTGTGTGTGCTGGTGTCAGAAGTTTGGTAATGGTGCAGGGCTCAGCTTGATGTCGTGTCAGGATGAGGAGCTGCTGCATTGTACTAGCAAGTTTTTTCAGTTGGTGTAGGTTTTTCCCAGTGGCCCCAGCCAAGTTGCCATGCCCTAGCCTCATACTTCAAACCCATGTGTACTATCAGATCATAGCACCCTGACACTAGTATTCAAACACAAAAGAAATCTTGGAAAGTTTACAAATACTTGGATATTAAATAACCCCCTTTTGAACACTCTGTGGACCACCGATAAAAATTAAGGAAGAAGCAAACAGTTCCTTGGATGAAATAATAATGTTGTATAATGTCCGGTACACAGTGAAAACATTCCTATGAGGGAGATTTTTTGCTGTGAATGCTCATGTTAGAGAAGGAGAGTGAGATAGATAAAAAATTCATCTACGTCTGGATTCTAAAAAGTAAGAACAGTCCAACCCCAAATGTAGCGCAAGAAAAAAGGTCACAAATATTGGAACAGAGATTAATGAAATGGTAACAAAAATACAAAGAATTAGTGAATTGAAGACTGGGTACTTTGAAAGAATCAAGATTATGTAAAAACCCTTTGGAAAACTTACTAAAATGGCAAAAATAAATCATTTCTATGAAAGTAAAATGTAAAAGTTGAAATTACACCAGACAACATTAACTTTCGGATGATAATTTTTCACTAGTATAAAAAATCAACTTAACCTTCTAACGTCCAGATCCATGAACACAGCTGTGAGACACAATGTCCCCAATAGTGGGTAAAGATTTAAACACAGGGATTTGTAAAGCAGCAGTCAACTCAAGGATTTTCCTGCCTGCTGACCCAATACTGTGTCCCCGAAGACCACATCAGTCATAGCCAAGGCAGTGATTTCTGGGACCAAGTGCCATTGGGTGACAAGTGTTTAGTCCTGCTGAGGGGCACTGCATGTGAAACGCATGTAGCATCTGTCTCATCTAGTTAGACACAGCCCACATTTGTTAAACACTATGCTATTCGGGAAGGAAGAATTTATTAAATGCCTCTTCAGTATCAGAGACTTTCTGTTGAGCAGGGAAACCAGTGCGTGCAGCCTGTGGGTTTGTGAGTTTCTACTTTTGATTTCTGACATATCATTGGGGGTACTGGCTATTATATGAGTGTATTTTTAAAAGTTCTCTAAAAACATAAAAGTTATTTTCATTTCTCTTTTTTTAATCTCAGTATAAGAAGTGAAATCCTGTCTAAAATATAATTTCTTGAGCTTAAGAATTCTGCCTATACTTCAAAAGTAAAACTCCAAGTATCAATTTTTAGAATTCAGTATATTATAATGCATATAAAGTCTTTACTTGTTGATTTTTAAATATTCATCGACCAACTGGTATTGACACGCTTATGTACAAAAAAATCTATGAATGTACTGGATATATTAACTCTGTCCATTTTCAAGGCAAAAACTCATATCCTATACCCAACTTGGAATGTGCAAATCCCCAAATTTTTGTTTTGTAATCTTCAAGGTTTTCTTCCAAAAAGACAACAGTGTTTGTATGTTTAAGCCCTTAATTTGCATAAGGAGTGGATCAAGAAAACAGTTTCAGCATCCACTAAGTAGATTATCAGAATTATATCACACAGTTAAAGTCTTATATTAGCACACAGTTATATATTATCATATTTATCATGACATATTATCATATTTATCATGGAGAGTTGATCATATATTTCACATTTGATCATTTTTATTTCCATTTCTCCTTCTTTCTTTTTCCAAATCTCTTTCCCATTTCTCCTTTGTTTTTCTCTTTAAAATTATGTATGTTTTGTGCCTTTCATATTAGGAAAATCACATTATGTTTAATCTTCTATATTTGATGTATTCTATGTGGCATTAGGTTCTGAAAAACTTTTTAAACAAAAGACTAAAACTTTCTCTATGTTTAAGTACTCTATTGTGTATATATACATGATGTTTTCTTATTCCTTTATCTATTGATAGGCTGCTTTTTTTTTGATTTGTGCTGCTACGAAGACAGTTGTGCAAATTATGGTACAATGTAGTACCTCTGGCTCTTTCTGGCAGACACCATAAGAGGAATAGCTGAGTCTAATGGAATTTCTAGTTTTTGTTTTTTTTTTTATTGTAAAAAGATAAAAGCCAGAAAAGAAAAACAAAAAGCAAAAGACATATATAACAACAGCAAACTCAAAACAATGACAATATAGGTTTTCAAAACAGAATGAAAGAAATTTAACAATGGTTGTTATATTGTACATTATTCTCTTTTTTTAAAGAAAGAAAAGAAAATTAAAGAAAACAGAAAAACAGAAAAGAAGGGTAGAACAATACTGATTTCAAAAAGTCAACATCATAGAACCACTGGTTGATATATTACTCATTGTCGTCCTAAAAAATAGTTGCCACAGTCACAAAATCAAAGCACAAACAGTGGCTAGACACTCAGACATCGACAGTGCAAATCCTGCCATTCAACGCTCCAATAGAAATTCAGCAATGTGGTCATCTATCCTACACATTATGCGTACTGCTGTACTCGCTAGAGCACTTTGCCTCCCTCTCAACTTCACAATGTCCACCACACAGTTTGGATCCCATTATTCTGTCAGTTTCCATTATATTTTACACTAGAGAGACAATGTGATATTTATTAATGTGATTCTTTTTTATTTGACTAGTGAAGGTAATTTCAAGTTGCCTCCACTTACCTATAAAGGCCTCAAGATCATGCGCTTTTTTTATAGCTGAGTAGTATCCCATTATATAAAATACCACATTTTTTTCATCCACTCTGCAGTTAATGGGCATTTTGGTTGTTTCCAAGATTTAGCTATCACAAATTGTGGTGCTATGAACATGGGTGCACATATATCTCTGTGATGTGATCTTTTCAATTTTTCTGGGAAAATACCCAATAGGGGAATAGCTGGATTGAATGGAACTTCCAATCCTAGTTTTTTGAGGAATCTCCATATTGATTTCCACAGGGGTTGCACCAATCTGCACTTGCACCAGCAGTGGAGCAGTGTTCCTTTCTCCCCACATCCTTGAGAACATTTGTTATCAGTTGTTTTCTGATGGCAGCCATTGTTTCTGTGGTGAGATGAAATCTCAATGCTGTTTTAATTTGCATTTCTTTAGTGGCCAGTGATGGTGAACATTTTTCATGTATTTATTTGCCATTTGTATTTCCTCACCTGAGAACTGTATGTTCATCTCTGATACAC